AAAGAAAATGTTAGGCCAGCATGCATGACAAATGCTGTGAAATTAGAATCACAAATTCTAAAGATGTTTTTTTATTTGTTATGTTTTTTTATTTAATTGATTTAATCTTGTAAAATAATGTGTGTATCAATTTGTGAAACTTAAAAAAAGAGAGGCAAGGTTGATGATTTCATTGTCTTAATGATTAAATAGTATTGAGTTTTCATATATAGGGTTTAAACTCTTTCATCTGTCAATTATTAAAATAATAATAATAATTTTATTTTTATATATTGTGTAATTATGTGGGGGTGAAAAAGAAAATAAAATAAAATGAGATAAATTAATGTATTGTTGAAAAAAAAAACACTAAATGAATCCAAATAATAGTCTAAATGATAAAGGAAGATATGTTTATTTGAATGATTCGAGTTTAAATATTTTAACCTACATGTGTTTTAAAGTATATTTAAACTTAAAATCAAATATATATATATATATATATTTAGTGATTTCAATAGTAAAAGAAAATATTGTTATTCGTAGAATATCTAGATTCGCGCAGTTGATTTGTAGACTCTAGGTATATGTATTTTGTCAATATAATAAGACTTTTTTAAAATACTACTTTGTTTTATGTGAAAAGCTTATTAAAAAGTTGAGTTTTATTATGGAAAATTTTCAAATCATTATCATTTTAGATGTAAATTATATATGAAAAGTCAAAATTTAAAACGAAAAAAATACTCATGAATACTACTTTTTGTTTTCATAATTTTTATTCAACTTTGACAATTTTAATATTGTTTTTGTTTATAACATTTTAAATTTTAATTATTTATTTCTAAAAGAATCAATTAGATCTCTTTATGACATCATCATTAATATTTGAATTATCATATCAACACAATATGTAAAATTGATTTACATTAATTAAAAAACTTGATTGATAAATTTTTTAAATTGATAACTCAATTAAGTATATTTTATGTGGATATTCTTGATTGATTTTGTTTGAAAAGGTTTGAGGATTATATACGGTTAAGTTTTTCAAAAATAGTATCATTTAAATTTTTATGTTAGATGATTCCATTTATTAGATATTTTAAAAAAATAATTATATAATTAAATAAATATAAAATTAATTCATAACATCAGCAATTAATTAATAGTATAAATAATTAAAAATAATATTAAGTGGGTCTTAAAAAATACTAATATGACCGTACGGCCTCGTGGAAAGCCATGCCTTGCAACGCTGACCGACTTTGTTCCTCTTTCCTCTACTTTTCTTCTTTCAAGTGTTTTACGTGACACCCCCTCCCTTCCTGACCCCACGAAGTATCTTTTTCTTCTTTCATATACGAGTTACGACATCAGCATTCGCACGCGTGTAATTTTGAAACTCGTGTTAACGATTTTAAAATAAATATATTAATTCTGTAAAGGCTTAATATTATATTTGACCCCTGAACTCCTCCCACATTGGTCCATGAACTTTTTTTGACCCACATTAATCCTGAACTTGTCAATTATTAAATAAAACATTTTTTAAATTATATAATTCCACTTAATTATACTTTTTTGAAACAAAGACGAACGCATGATTTTATGTTAAGAGGTTGAGCATATAAAATTTTAAAAAGACAAAAATATATTATCAATAAAAATACAAAAATATATCTAAATCATATAAGAATTTGATATTTTCATGGAACAATCGTCCCAACCAACCCTTTCAATCTATCCCTGCCTTAAAATGATAGCCTTTTGAATTCTTAATTCATAATTTATGATTTGAATTCCTAGCCGTTATTCTTAATAAATATCATCTATAAAATATAAATCTAATTTTTTTATTATGATCAGAATATACCTTATCAGTACACCAAATACGTGTAAAATAAACACAGAGGCCGGTCACTATTTGAAATGGTATTAAAATCAAAAGCTAGCAAACAACAATCAATTGATAACCCTTCATATACTTATATATAGTTGATGGTATGCTGTTGGAATTTCATTAAAATGATGATTCAAAAGTTTCATTCTACATTTCCACTATTAATTTAAAAGTTTATCAATTGGATTACATCACTATATATTTACACCTTCTTTTCACATAAAAGGTTAAAGTATTCTCATTTATCTAGAATGTTTTGTCCATTCAAAGATGCCAGGAGTGGACGAATATTATATACACTATGTTTTTGTTTTATTTATTCTGTAACACTCTTGAACACGTCTTGATATAATATATATTTTTATTAATTATAAGTTAAACTTATAGTTGTAATCAAATAATGTTCGGTATACATTAATACCAAATATAAACCTTCTTGTCAGAAAAAGAAATAGAGACTAACCATCACCTAATCAGTATTTATTTTGACAAAATCAAAACGTTGATTGCTGTGATTTGAACAAGGAACGTAATATTTAACTCCTTCAACTACTTTTAGTAACATTTTAATCAAAATCAGTATTTTCATTGTTTTTCTGTTTTAATTGTTTAACTTTCAAATACTTGATTATATCATTAAACTTTAAATTTAATTTGTTTTGGTCACTTTCATTGAGTATTTAACGTCTTAAAAAAACTAAACTTTTCTTCCAAATTCGTATTTGGAACTCTCTTTGATTCGTCAATGTCGAAGTATTTTCTTTTAAATTTGAATGCTACAGATTTCGAAAGGAGAAAAAATGTTACATTTTGATCATACAATGGAGACTGTAGATTGGATAAAGATAATGTTGAAGCTTTTATTTGAGCTTTTCAATTTCAAGGAATTTTAAGAAAAATTAAACTGAGAAGAAAATAAGAGAAAAAGGAATATTTTAGTGACGTATATATCGTGTACAATGACACACGAAAGTTGAATAGTGACATTAGATACGTAATATTGAACGACAAAACGAATGAATTTCTAAAATTTAGTGACGAGATTAAAAATTTCAGAGTTGAATAACTAAAACAAAAACACATATAATATATTAATATGGGTTGATTTAAGTAGTAAGCAACTTGATATCGATTAACCAATGTCTCGAGTTTGAGAAATTATGTATGCAAAAAATCTCTGCTGAGAGGCTTGCCCACAAAAACTATGTCTGCGACACGGGTCGGTTCGAATTAATTAAGACAAAATTTTGAAGCCAAGAGGAAAAAAAACATGTGTAATATTAGTGACCAGAAAACTAGCTAACTCATTCTTAAATCCTACAATTTGTGGGTGCTGTTTGAAGTTATTTTAATACATGCTAGGTTTGATTTCTACTTTGTAACAACTAATTATTTTTTGTTATACTCATATTGTATTGCTTATGTAATTGTCAATTAGTATGATTGCACGTATACCTTTGACCAAGTTTAGAATACAGTAAAGTTGAACCCGTTCGTATGGAAATCTTTTTAATGTAACTTTTATTTATAAAATTTGAATTTAAAACTAACCAAGTATAAAATTTGTTGTCATTTCATCCAATAAACTTAATTTGAAATTTAAATAATATAATTTTTAACGCATTTATTTTGCAAAATATTAAAAAGTAATGAAAAGACAAAATGAAAGTTACGGAACTGGACTGCATCGGGCTACGGAAGAAAGAAACCATCCCTCCGCTAATTGCGCTGCCCTAACCTTTTTTTTTTGTACTGTCTTCTTCTGGTTAAAGAATATTATTATTTGTAAATTTGATTTGAATTTAATGTGTATATATAATTTTAATTTTAATTCAATTATAGATAGATTTAAAAAATATTATTTGACTAATGATTAACATGAGTTTACCAAATTAAAATTTTAGGTCATAAAATTGATAATGTAACATTTGAATTTGTATAAAAAATATGAAATATTTAAAAATAAATAAATTCAATTATTTTCAGGTAGATAAGTACAATTCTTTGTGCATGTAATATGTATAGAGAATTACATATCAAACTTCATATGTAATTTTGAGTTAATTTTTCTTATTTTACAATCAACTTTTACTTTGATAAAAAAGGGTAAATTACACTGATCATTGTACTTTTATGGTATTTTTACATTTGTCGTCATAATAGAAGAACTTTAATTAAAAATGCCGTCACTAAGATTTTTTTTTGATCGTTAAATTTTAATAATAGTTGACGTAACACATCCATATGTTAACAGAAGTTGAGTTAATATGTTTGCACGTGTCATCACATTATTAATGAAAAATGAAATGAAATCATAAAAATGTATTATGATGAATCAAACCTCGGACCTTGGTAAAGAATTTCATCGTCCAATTACTTGGTAAGCAAAAATTTTTGTTATATTTATACAAAATATGATATTTAACTGATATTGTGACAAAAAAATAAGAAAAAAAATCACATAATGTTTCATTATTTTTATATGATTTCATTAAAATATTAAAATATATTTTGATCTAAAAATATTAAATATAAAATTTTCAATGTCATGATATTTTGTTAGCTAAAAATATACAAGGGTTAAGCAAAAAAAGTTGCAAAGTAAATGCTAACTAAAAGAAATACAATTGAAAAGGCTAAATATGTCAAAGTATTATTTAAAAATTTAAAACTTAATATATTAGTAATTAATGAAAAAATAAATAAAAATTAAAAGAAGAACCATAAATTTTTAATTTAAAAAAGTATAAAAACTTAAATTTAGAAAACAATAAATTAGATTTAAATTTAAATAACAATTAACAAAATAAATTAAGTAAGCCTACGTAAGTAAATAATATATTTTTTGAATTAAAAGTAAATAATATAGTAAAAAAAGTGTGCTGGGGTTTTTTAAGAGTGTCGTGGAATGCAAATTCATCCCAACGAAGCCGAAGTAATGATAGTAAAAAATTAACTAATTTTGTTGTACCTTCAAAGTACTCTTACCCGTACCTCTCCCTCTCTTCATCACTTCCAATGTGTAATCCTTTCTTTAACTCCCTCTCCTCTATATATTCCCAAATAACCACTCTCCCCCTTTATCCTCCCAATTCTATTCCTCTCATTTCCTATTTCTTCCTTTTTCAACCAAAGTTTTCTTTTCTTTTCTTTTCTTTCATTACCCAATGAAGGAGCTCATCCGCCGTCTCACCCGCGTCGCCGACACTTCCTCTCAGTACAGCCTTCTCCGTTCCGACACGACTTCCACGCGCCATCGCACCGCGGTCGTGCGTCGGGCCGAATCTTTCCGCATGGCTGTCGCTTCGTTGAAAAAGTATTCGCGCCGGTCGGTCCCCGAGGGTCACGTCCCGGTCTACGTCGGGGAGGAGATGGAGCGGTTCGTGGTGAACGCGGAGTTGTTGAACCACCCTGTTTTCGTCAGCTTGCTCAACAAGTCGGCCCAAGAGTATGGGTATGACCAGAAAGGGGTGCTTCATATTCCGTGTCACGTGCTGGTTTTCGAGCGGGTTATGGAAGCGTTGAGACTAGGGGATGAGTCACGTGACCTCCAGGATCTCCTCCGTTCTTTCTCCGACTACTGTTTTTTGGAGTTGTAGGAGAAGAGTAGCTGGAACGGGACGATGTCGTTTTTTGTTTTTTGGGGTTTTCTTTTTGTGTTCCTTTTGTGTAAATATGGAAAATTAGAGGGAAAGTAAAGCAATTCAGTGTTTTTCGTAGTTCTTACAGACTTACAGTGTAAAGAGGATTGTATACAAATGGAGTTCAGTTTTTTTTTTTTTGGCTTCAGATTTGATTTTGGTTTTGGAAATTATAAAAATAATTTGAGTTAATCACGGTGGAACCGAAGTCAGACAAGAGGAAGTTTGAGATTCTCTTCTCACAGCTGTCATTCAAGCAGGAAGCGGCTTTTAAATGCTGCAAATATTCTGTTTGGATTCCGAGAAAACCGATGCTCGTACAAACCATAAAGTATTTTTTTGTTTGATTTATTTTTCTAGTAATCTCAGGAGAATCAAAAGATTAATTTTTGTTCTTAAGGGTATGTTTGTTTGGCTGTAATTGGTTTTTTGAAAAATAAATTACTAGAATTTAAATTACTGAAATTTGAATTACAGAAAAATTAATTACTGAAATTTGAATTCTGAAAAATGAATTACATTTCTAGAAAACGTTTTTCGAAAAATATTTTCCGTAAAATGAATTATATTTTTTTAAAACATCTGGAAAACGTTTTATGATGTTTGGAATATGTTATTTAAACTTTTTTTTCACTAGTCGAAGAGTTTTTTAAAAATTATTTATTACAAATATTAAATACAATAAATAATATTATTTATCATAAAACTTTTTTATTATTAAAAATAATTTATTTATTATTAAATAGTATTTTTATAATTTTATTAATAAAAATATTAATTTTTGTATATTTTAGTGAAATAAAAATATTATAAATTATTTATTAAAGTAATAGTGTTATATTATATTTTAAAAATATTAATTAGTATATTTTAAATATCTTAATTAAAATATTATTTAAATATATAAATAATATTATTCATTATTAAATATATAATTTTTTTATTATATAGTATTAAAATAAAAATATAATATCTTATATTATTATAATATAATTGATTATTTTATGTAATATTAAACATATAATATTATATTATTATAAATATTAATAAATTAATAAATAATATTTTGATGAAAATGATATTAAAATATTTTATTAATATTAAATTCATAAAATAAAATTATTTTGAGTATTTATTCTTTGAAGTGAAAAGTTCGAAAAAATGACTTACGGAAAATGAATCTGTAAGTCATTTTCCAGAAAACACAAAGGAAATTATGTTACTAAGAAAATGAATTACGTTCAGGAAAACCAATTACGTGAAACAAACAATGGAAAATATTTTCCGGAAAACGAATTACATGAAACAAACACGGAAAACATTTTCCAAAAACGAATTACGTGAAACAAACATGAAAATTCGGAGAAAACCAATTCTGTAATTGAGTGAGTGTGTGTTTTGGGGGCAGATCTAAAATTTGGGAGAACATTCGGCAGTGGGGAAAGGGGTATCTTGGGAAGGTTGGAAATTGGGATAGGGGTGTATAATGTTGTGGTTTCATTCTATTCTGTCTTGGATTACTTTCGGCCGGCAGTTCCGTCTTCAAACGCCGCTAAATCAGATTAATTTTTTCGGACTTAGTATTTCGAGGAAACTATAATAAAATAGGGTAATTACACCCTAATTCATTCATTCAACTATTACTTCAGTCAGTAAAAAAAAACTATTATTTCAGTTACAAACGAATCTGCTTTTTAAAATTATACTTCAATTATTCTATTAAGATATTATCACAACCAAATCAATTATGAAATATTATATAAAATTTATTCATTTTAATAATTTATTTTTTATATTAAAAGAAATTATCCAATTATTTTTTATTTTAATTTTTTTTTGTCCTCCAATTTTAATGTTTTGTCTTGACTAATTCGGATCGATCTATGTCACATACCTGGCTTTGGTGAGTGAGTCTTCCAGTAGGGATTTTCTACACATACAAAGACTCGAACTCAAGACCTTACTTGAGCAATATTTGTATTGATTGTTCACCATCATTCTCAACCATGGATAAAATTACTTTATAATTAATTTTTTTAATTATTTTTATGGTTAACTTAACATTTATTCAAATATTAAAATAATAATAATAAATAAAAAATACTGACATCAATTATATCTCCAAAGATACTTATAGATTTATATATTGGAGATATTCTTTTTCTACTAATAACAATTCTTTTGCTTACTAAGACTTCCTCCAAAGAGATCCTTTTATAAGGTAAGTTTTTTTTCCCAACCAGACATAACCACTTGACAATACTATTAATAAATTTAAGAGATCTATCAAAATCAATTTTACTGATTAACGGTTACATTTATTCATTATGTTGGTCTACAAATAACAATCATGATATTATGTTTGACACTAAAACATAAGGAGTCAATGTATAAACTCCTGTGCCAAACCAGAGGAGAGACCTTCCTCTCATTCTTCTTTATTGAATCTCTCTCGAACCCTTCTCCTTCATTTTTTTCCATTCACCACCAACATCATCACCTACAATTCTTTATCTAAATCAGAGTAGATGAATTATCTACAATCTTTTTGTTACCATCAACAATAATCAATCTTAAATTTATTTTAACAAGTTTTGTAATTTAATGTGACATTAATTATATCTACCTATGATCCCGGATAAAATCAGGCTTGGACATCATTCACGGACATTGATTATATTCGACATCCGTTTTTGATGCCCGAATAATGGTAAAATTAACGAGTATGTGGGGGAATAAACAAACGAACATATAAATGCCCCAAGATCTTAATGTTCAACAAATAGACTCGTAAGATCTTAATGGTTTGGAATGTTTTTTTGCTCACTAATTATGGAATCTTAGTTGGAGAGAATTAATAAAAGTTTCTATAGTGTTTTTTCTTGAAAAAAATAAATAAATTCCTAACAACTTAATTAAGAAAATTAATAAAAGTTTAAGTCTATTTATCGATAAAGTACGAGCCCATAAGGGACGAAAATCCTGTCAGATTGTTGAAAACTTAAAATATACCACCAATCAGGGACCACTGCATGATTTTATATTACGAAGACGAATTTAAAAAATTTCAGGAGATACAAATTTATTTTTAATAAAAAATACATAAGAAATATTTAAAATATATGGTAATTTAAAATTTTCAAGAGTAATTGCCCCCACCCGCTCCCCCTCTCAACCTATCCCTGTCATAATCCAAAAACAACCTATCCCTGTCATAATCCAAAAACAGATGAAGGTTGAAAAATTGGTTTCCTTTCAAATATAATTTTGAAGTTGGAGAATCATATCAAAATGTTAATAAAATTCAAGAACTATTAGGATAATATTCCATTTCATAAATTTAATGCATGAAGATTCATAGACTAATCTGATAAATTACTTCTCAAATAATTCTGGATGCATCAACAAATTGTCTCAAAATATAATATGAAACGCTAAACTATCATAACAATAGAGAAAACAATATCATAAAAAAGATAAACAACTGTGTTATAAAAATAGAAAAAACAAACACTTCAAGAATATGCGACAAGAAAGAATTCAAAACGAGGAGGTGTATATTTTTATTTAAATAAAAATACAAAATAAAAAGGGAAAAATATAAGAAAATGGAAACAACAACACTAAATTGTCAGTTAAAGCATTGTTTTGAAAGAAAAATTAGAAACTCATTTTAATATTTATTATATAAGGAAAAAAGAAAAGAAGATATGGTATACTTTGGTAGAAAGCATGTATGCTAAGGGAGATCAGAAGCAAGAGAGACGTTGAACAAGTTGTGGGAGAATCGTCATTTTCCCTTGGGTTTTTGCACTTAAGACCCCACAAGTTGTGGGAGTATATAATTAACCCTTATTATTAAACAAATTTGATTAAGCATATTCCGTGCTTGATTTGATTCCTTAGTCAGACAAATAAATTCGACAATACTAACAGGCCATGAAAAGTAATATATTTTTCACGTGCAATGTGTTCCATGATCCAAACAATTAAATAATCAATTTTATTAAATTATTGTGATCAAAGTTTGAGAAGTCTGACCGAAAAAATCATGTGACCAACGTATTCTCATTCCTGTTGTTGCGGTTGATCAAAAGGCTTCGACTGTCTATTTGACTGGAAAACATTTGTAATTAATTTTTTAATTAAACCAATGTTGATTTCTATTTCTTTAGTTGGTGTTAAAACGACTTTGCAATTAGTTTATGGAAAAGCAAGTCTTGGTACTATGAATATCTGAGTAAGAATTATATATTCCAACTGCTTAGAACAATAATCTCTTTTTTATCTTTGGAATTTCATTGTAAATTAAATCTTGTTACATCTACGTTATATGCAAAAGATTTTTTTATCAAGAAGGATATATTTTCTTAGAATTTATTTAATAATAATCACATTTCAAGTGATAATTTTAAATATTTTATTTAAAAAATATATAAAAATTAAAAATATCATTATAATAATATTAAGGGAGAAGTATATTTACCCTTAACTTTGATGAATATTCCACTTATCTTTATAGTTTTTAAAATACACAGTTATTCCCTAAGGTGTAATGAAAATATTCACTTACCTCTAAGTTTAAATACAAAGATAATTATACTCCCATCAGTATATATATATATATAATCTTTTTATTTATTTTACTTTTACTTGGAAAATAATGAAATTTTAAATAAATTCAAATTATATTACAAATTGCAAAGTCAAATTCTAATTAAACTTAAAATAAAAGTTAATAATATTAAATTTATATTTAACTCAATCATATAAAAATATTGAGACAATTTCATTAATTTTTTATTTAAAGTTAAACTCTTTTATCTTAATTAAAATATCACATATTTTCTATAAAATATTAAAAAATATATTTAAAAATTCATTCATTCATATCCTTCTTTTGAATTTTTCAAAACCATAGTCCACAGATAAGGATTTAAGCAAAAAAAAAAAAATTAAAAGATGATTCCATTCTTCCTAATCATTATTTTAAAATTGTGATTTCAATGAACTTAAATCATCTAATAATATTCTTTTATGTTACCTAAAAGAATCTTTGAAAATAATTTAGGGTCAGTTTGTTTCACTGAAAATATTTTTTGGAAAATATTTTCCGTAAAATGAGTTACATCTTTTGA